AGTGAATGCTCTAATGCTGCCTATAAAAGTACAAATAGTAGAGTGTGGTGAATGCTCTAATGCTGCCTATAAAAGTACAAATAGTAGAGTGTGGTGAATGCTCTAATGCTGCCTATAAAAGTACAAACAGTAGAGTGTAGTGAATGCTTTAATGTTGCCTATAAAAGTACAAGCAGTAGAGTATGGTGAATGCTCTAATGCTGCCTATAAAAGTACAAACAGTAGAGTGTGGTGAATAATCTAATGTTGCCTAAAAAAGTACAAGCAGTAGAGTGAAGTGAATTATATATTTTTGCCTATAAAAATACAAGCAGTAGTGTGGTGAATGCTCTAATGTTTCTCAGGACAGAAGTGCTATATGAAAACGTGCAGAAGTCAAGGTTTTCAGTTGTGCATGTTACTTCATACGACAGTGTTCATGAAACTAGTATCACTGAAAATGTAAGCGGTTGAGGCAGAAAGCCCAAACTCTCAGTAAGTGATATTAAGTAAGAAACTCGTGATATGCTCTATATAATGATACACAACAATCCAGTAGATATCTTGCCAATGGTCTATCTATAAGTACAAGTGGGAAGTTTACTTCAAGAACAGTAAGATACACATTAGCATGTATGGGGCCTCAGTTAATGTGTAGCTGCTCATAAACTACTGCTTAAGAGAGATAACATAAACCAAAAGATTGAAATGTGCATTAGACTTCAAACAATGAAATGAGCAAAGCTGTAAAAGGTCTTTTTTACAGATAGATGAATTAACATTCAAATTATTTGACAGCAAACAACAATAGTTTGTTCGCTGGCAGAAAAGAGAATGTTATCACTCAATGTACTACATCTACATTGAAACATGCTGGGGGACTAGTAAAAGTATGGGCTGCATCTCAACCAGTTGCGTTGGAAATCTGCAAGAACAAATTGATGGCACCCTAACTGCTTAAAGGAACGAGCACATCCTTATCCACTATGAAATTCCCTTAGAAATAAATCCACATATTATAAATATATGCATTACTGGGAATAATCCTGACAAAATAAATACAATGAGTATAAAATGTAAAATTATTTGATTCACCCGATTAATGTATAAAAAGTAACTGCGCCAGAGTACAGTCACGTGTTGATAGTCATCCCAATTATGCAACAAATATTGTGAGATGAAACCTGGAGAGAAAGGAGAGGCCAATAGAACAATCACAACCATGGGTTAGGTCTGCACAAAGTCCCTATATGAATATTATTAAGGCTGTATGGGCTTATATGGAAACCGAGAAGGTAAGATGATCATCAAACAACTTGGCTGAATTATTGAAAGTAATCTAGAACATTTGAAATAGTATTTCACAAACAAAAATTGATAAACCTATGGTAGCACATAAACTAGGCTTACTGTTCTGTTTAAATCTGTACAAAATGCTAGTGCACAGTCATCTTATTCAATTTTCTTCTGTATTTTATGCAACAATCTATTGCAATAATGATAAATTGGCCATTTAGTTGTAATTACCGCATATTTGTGGCTCGTGTATGTGTACCACCTTTAATTATCCGCTTGTTTGTGACTCGTGCATGTGTATCACTTTAATTACCAGCTTGTTTGTGACTCGTATATGTGTATTACCTTTAATTACCGCTTGTTTGTGACTCAAGTATGTGTATCATATTTAATTACCCGCTTGTTTGTGACTCGTGTATGTGTATCACCTTTAATTTCCCGCTTGTTTGTGACTCAAGTATGTGTATTACCTTTAATTACATTTAATTAAAGGTGTATCACCTTTAATTACCGCTTGTTTGTGATTCATTTATATTTTCGTTTCCATGGTTATAATACACAAGAATAGATGGACCTGGATCAATCCACCTCCCCCATGACCACTTACTTACACTTCATGAATAGATGGACCTGGATCAATCCGCATCCCCCATGACCACTTACTTACACTTCATGAATAGATGAACCTGGGTCAATCCACATCCCCCATGACCACTTACTTACACTTCATGAATAGATGGACCTGGATCAATCCACATCCCCCATGACCACTTACTTACACTTCATGAATAGATGGACCTGGATCAATCCACATCCCCCCTGACCACTTACTTACACTTCATGAATAGATGGACCTGGGTCAATCCACATCCCCCATGACCACTTACTTACACTTCATGAATAGATGGACCTGGGTCAATCCACATCCCCCCTGACCACTTACTTACACTTCATGGTATTTTAGTTCTTGTTCTTTTATAAATTCATTTTCTGTTAATACTTCAATTAATATTACTAATATCTTCAGTTTGTCGAGTCTGTTATTACACAAGTACGCCGCTCCCCTTAAAGGGGACCCAAGCGTTCATTATTAATGAAATCAATTTTCGATTCGAACCACCTCGATATTCAAATGTAACTCACATGATTTGGTCGATTGGGTCACAAAAAAATGGTTATTGCCACAAACAAACATACAACAACAAAAGAACTAGCAACATTACTCTGGTTGTTCTTGTCTACTATGATTGTTCAACAAAACCTAGAAGTTCTGCCTGGTGGTGTACTCGCAGGACTGACGTAATAGCTCAGTCACCCAGGGTATTTCTAAAACTTTTACACGGGAAATAAATCAATTTTGTTACACACCTTTCATATTTTTTAGTTCAGCAGTGGCTTGACGTCATATTATTGTTTGTGCGAATTGCGGCCTACTTCTTTTTAGATGGTAAATATTGATATAGTTGTTGTGTTATCTTTATAAAGTCTATGGAGGCAAGGTATAACAGCATTAATTTAAGAGTCAGGCCACGTTTCTGTGAAACGATACGTGTACATTTTGTATTCTTACTGATTTATCTTATCATTTACTTTAAGATCGTACTTTCTAATTAAAACTCTAATCAAAGTTATGGGATGTTGCAAAGCATCTTAAAGATCACACTCATACATGTAATAGATAGTGTAGAAAAGTAGGTTTCCATGGTTCCCTAGACATTAACGGTTTTCTCGGTCTTCTAGATATGACCGGTTTCCATGGTCATCTAAACATGACCGGTTTCCATGGCCCTCTAGACATAACCGGTTTCCACGCTCATAGACATAATTGAGTTTCATGGTCCGCTAGACATGATCGATTTTCATGTTCATATAGGCATGATCCCCTATACATGACAAGTTTTCAGTCTTCCTTAAACACGACCCTATCATATCTTTTCTATACCAAGTGGATTAGAAAAAGACGGCATCTGGATAAAAAACGCACATTCTCTTCCCTGTTTATTTACTTAACAATATACTTAACGCGATATTACCTTCATATAGGCATGATCCCCTATACATGACAAGTTTTCAGTCTTCCTTAAACACGACCCTATCATATCTTTTCTATACCAAGTGGATTAGAAAAAGACGGCATCTGGATAAAAACGCACATTCTCTTCCCTGTTTATTTACTTAACAATATACTTAACGCGACATTACCTTCATATAGTCCTTTCAGCCTAAGCCGTCAGAACAAGCATCCAATCAACTTGCTGGTGAGTGCGTGCAGCTGGGGAAATCAGAATACCCTAGCACACCAGTCTAGCTTTCACTAGAAATACACTGACGCAGAAAATTATATAAAAAAAACAACACTGGTTGGCTGTCAACTTTTAATATGATTTCCTATTTTCTTGAAAAATAAATGGCCCTTCTTTTATTGATCCAATAAGCTTCAGAGTGATCCTTTAAAAATATATTTTGAATTGATAAAATAGATCATATGAAATTAAAGGCTAATTTACAATTCTTGCGACGTTCATATCACCGTATTGGGTTCAGCTGTGTATTAACGTATTGCAAATGGTATATGTAGTATTTGTACTGTAGCAGTGCAGAAGTAGATAGTTTCTTACTAGACGTCTTGCTGGTGGCCAATCAGATAAACTGAGTTAAATACAACATAGTTTTCATTAACACTAAATTAAAACATTAAAATGACGTTACCTAAGGGATGCTTAACGTTACAATTTGTAACGTCAGTAAAACGTGCGCATGCCATGAATCACGAGCAAAATTATGCATTCTTTAGGCTGTAACACGGCATGACGTATGAACTTTTTTTTAAGAGCAAGAAATAAAAATATTTGATACGTTTAATTTTGGTTTTATTTACTCTTGACACAGAACACTTTCTGGGACCCAGCGCAGGTACATCTAGTAATAATCCTTACCTATTCTAAACTGTTATATAAAGAAATTGATTGATTTACGTTATCTCTCTACACTGACCACAAACAATATAGATCTTCGTATGATATCAACCATTACATTTTCAATATCCTAATATCATCTTCTAATGAACAAACTTAATACCAGTTTTTAGATATTTTATTAGGCTTATAGTGGTTACAAGCTCCAACAAATACTTTAAAATTTATTTATAATTTATCCTAATGATATTTGAAAAACAAACAAACAATAATTCTGGAAGTGTTTGAAACATGAAACATGTTTTCCTTGTATGATTTAGCTTTATTTTAAAAAATAAAAATATATTAGATAAACTAAATTTCATAAGTTCATTTGTGAATTTTTAATCTTCTTCGTCGCAACCTTTAATTTCAGTGGTGCTAAACAAGGGGCTATCCGTGCTGTGCCCTCCACGGGTATCAAAACCCGGTGGTTATGATTGTAACAACACATTATTAATCCTGAGCCACTGGGGGCATCAATTGTAAGTTAAAAACTTTACATCAAATTCTATGAACTTCATTAAGTTGATAATTTTAACATAACTAATAAGCTTGTTAGGTTTTGTAATGGTAATACTGCAGGGAATTTATACAATAAAACTGTTGCCCAGTGCGTATCAGACGTTATTCCTGTACTTAAAACAAAAGCTTAGTCAAGTAATATTGAGTTGATAATTTTAACGTTACTAGTAAGCCTAACGTTAATTTTTAGAATAATAATACTGCTAGGAATTTGTATGATAAAACTGTTGCCGAGTTAATGCGTATCAGACTTTATTATTGTACTTAAAATAAAACCTTAATCAAGTATTAATATTCCACTTTTACTTTCAGTCTAACATACTAATATAGTATTTAAATTATTAATTATTAAATCTGAAGAGTTCGAGAATCTCTGGCTATTATTAATGAGAATTAAACTTAAGGTTTGGTTCCATTAATCTCTTCTCCTCCGAATTCAATAGGTATGTAATCTGCCTAGTCC